TTTCTCTGCCTTTCTCCTGCCTTGCAGCTGAGGCTGAAAAAGTGGGTGGCAGAGGGACACCCAAGCTGCATTCCCATGGCAGTTAATTCCATTTTCATGATATTTCCCTGTTAATTTCTGCATTGTATTTGATCTTTCTTTCTCTCCCATCTCCCATCCATCTTGGGATATACGCCTCTTCAAGTTCTCTCCATTGCTTTCTGTTGTTTGCTTCCATGTATTCACACAAGCCCTGCTGTTAGTTTGAGCTTCCACATGATATAAAAGTCACTTCTGGAACTATAGTGAGCTTTAGTGGGCCTGTAGTGAAATACAGCACAAGTTTAGCACTCATTTCAATTATTAGTTGCAAACGGATTTGTTTTTTGTTTTCTGGAAGCAAAGAACACAAAAATGAGCACTAAACATCCACTGTTCCAGAAGTAGCTTTCACATCACATGTGAAAGCTCATACAGTGGTACCTCGGGTTAAGTACTTAATTCGTTCTGGAGGTCCGTTCTTAACCTGAAACTGTTCTTAACCTGAAGCACCAGTTTAGCTAATGGGCCCGCGCGATTTCTGTTCTCATCCTGAAGCAAAGTTCTTAACCCGAGGTACTATTTCTGGGTTAGTGGAGTTTGTAACCTGAAAAGTATGTAACCCGAGGTATCACTGTATATAATGCATAACTTAACAGCTAGAGAAAAGTTGTGAAAATGGAATAAACAGTCATGTGAGTGCAGCCGCAGTCAAGAAGCCTAACCTCCTTCCGAGGCATATCGTCTGAGGTCTACCATTTCTGGTGATGGGGGATAGAGAATCATGTAAGCAAGAAAAAGACAGTAGCTGCTCCTACGTCCTGTCCCTTATTCGTGGAATGCCTTTCCCTTGTGTCTGTGGCATTTGGGCTTCCTCAAAACAGGGATGAGGAACTTCTGATCCAGGGGCCAAATGCAGTCTTCAGACTTCTCCCGTCCCCTCTCCAAGCCATGTCTCTCACTAGCCCTTCTCCAGTCCTTCACGGAGTGCTTTTGCCCAGGTGAACTGTGTCCCTGAACCATAAATAATGCCTCTTGCTTGCATGGCTAGAGAAATGAAAAATGTGTGTGTGTAGAAACTTCTGACATAAAGTAGACCACATTTCCGCCACATATAACTACGGTAAGAGTCACTTCCATTGTTCCACACACTTTCACTCCTGACTCTGTCCACCACTAGTATGTGGTTCCTGAAAGGTTCTTTGAAGGCAATGTGGCCATTTAGCTAAAGAATGTTCCCTTTCCGGCTTTAGAGACATTTGTCCTTTTTAGGAAGAGGTTCAAGGCCAAGTGCACCGCTTAAGCCCCAAAGCACTCATCTAACTTTTTGGGATAATAAATGGTGTATACTAATAAAGCTGTATACTAATATATATTTTTTATGAAGGTTTTCTCCATTTGGTGAAAATAGGTGAAGATCTGCAATGGGCATTCTCATCTAAAAACATATTGCTGTGTAGGAAATGGATATAACATGAGGATTTGGGGAAGGATCCAGGAAAAATATATGCTGTGGTAGCACTCTGTGTAAACCTTTAGTTTTCACACCAGTAAAAAGATAACTAATTTATTTTTTCTTCAATTCTTGCCGTTCTTATTCCATACTGGTGTGATTGCACTTCTTTCAAAAATTACCAATCTTGTATTTCCGTAAGGCTTAGAGTGTTCAAATTTACAGAAAAAATCTTCTTTACAAACACCATACTTTACTTTAAGACATAATGCTTTTTCATTTCAAAAAATCCCTCTAAAGCACTAGATCTTTTATATGGGATAGGACCAAACTGAAAATAAAACAAACACTCCACCACCACTATCTACTCTCCAACACTCTGAAACAAAACATTATCCTCAACGGATGCGGAATACTCTTTCCTTTCTTTTTTGAGTTAGAAGAAAATGGACAAATTAGTCTTTCAAAAAAACTAATAGTGGTAGAAGGGATGCTGCCTAATAATCAATCAATCAATCAATATCAATCAATCAATCAATCAATCAATCAATCAATCAACAGTTCGACTGTGTTGGAAAATTCCTCTAGGCTATGCTTATAAATGTTATCTTAGATGGATGGCTTCCATGGGTGTAGCCAGGATTTCTGTGCTGGCAATTTGAGTTGTAAAAACCTACACTTAGAAGAGCACAGATGTGAAGCCAATGTAGGATCTAATTTGAACCTCAAGTCACCTCCAGACCACCTGTTTATTCATCCTAGTTTGCTTGCACAAAGTTTATGCAGAGGTTAGACTGAATCTAATCTTTGCTGTGAATTCATTCTGATTTGTTTGAGGAGCAGTTATATAACAAGTATCATCGTACACTTTCATTGCATTTCCTTGTCACTTTTCATGCTACAAAATGTCAGATTATTGTTATTTTTTACAGTGGATATGTTGCACTAGGGCAACACAGCCTTTTAATCCACTTTAGCTTCACGAAGTTCCCTTGAGCAAAATAGTGGCAGTCTGGTGGCACCCTTAAGTCTTTTCTGAACATTCCAGTCAATGCCAGTCTACGAATCATTTGAACGGTACCAGTGAATATTATCTGACAAGGCTGCGGAAGTCTGAATAAAGAGTTTAATTTGTTCTTGGACAAGTCTTGGGTTCCTAGCCTAATTTTCATGAAGAAAATAATCCATTGTCTTTAGACATATTACTGATTGTAAAAACAGAAGGCACACGTTTTAAACACTATAGTGATAACAATATTTAAACAAAACTGTGTTTATCTAACTGCAAAGAAAACAGAAACATGCATATCCTGAACTACATAAAACAAGGCTTATTTTAGAAGGTTAACATCTGCAAATATACAGAGTCCAAAGAAGCACTCTTCTGTCACAGGTATGTACATATATAATTCTTAATTACACTGGATATAATTTATAAAGTTACATTTTTAAAAATGCAAAATAAAAAATATCTTTACAGAACAACTTTAGGATAGCTATCTGTCAGCAAAGTACAATGTTTTAAAGCCTGGTTCACACATGCATGGCGTATTTATTGTATCCACGTGTGACTATATACGTTGGTAAACCAACACATGAAGGAACTTTAATGTCAGCTGCATAGCACGTAGAGCAGCCAGCGGCGATTTTCATGATTGTGGCAACAAATTCTCCAGCTACCATGATCACAAAGAATGCTGTAGTTCTCTCTATATACCTCTTGGATATCAGTAACATTCCTCTATAGGCAGGTACACATGATTGTGTACTCACATACTTGACCTCACAACGAGGTTGGGGGAAGAGACACAACCAAGGATTTCATCAGCTAAGCAATCCTGCTATCTCCAATTCCCTTAAAAAAAATGGTGATCTCTGTGTAGGAGTGCAGACCAACACACCCTACTTAGCATTTTCTGCAGGCTTGTAGAAAAGTTTCAGGAAAAGTGGTAGAAATGAACCAAGTGGTTCCACCTGCCCATTTTTAGTAAAAATAGTTGAGTAAAAATATGAGCCTTAATTTATGACTGAACTGACAGCTGAGATTTATTTCTGGTTGAAATCATGTCCTTCTCTAAGAGTCCCTCCTTTTTCAGTTTAAATTTCAGTGGGTTTTTGGGTACTATTCACTGCTGCAGCAGACTTCTTGGAATAGAAATCCTGTTGTCTTATTTTCTATAAGAAGCAACATCAGCATAATAAGCATGCAATCCAGAGAAACTTACACATGCTAAAGACTCATTGAAATAAAAGAGATACAGCTATTTTATACCATCTCATGCTTACTGATTTCAGTTCTGGTTTAAACCATTGTTTTAACTGTGTAATATGTTTTACAAATTTTGTTTTTTGTAATGGCTTCAGCTACACTAATAAATCATATTCATATTCATTTGCTTCCAAAAGCTGGCTTACTCCAACAGAATAATCCTACCAAGGAAGGAACCTTTGCTTCCAATCACATGGGACTCTATAACATGAAGTGTCCGCCCACTTTGCAATAAATCCAAAAGAGATGTGCCTGCTAGATGCATAAAACATGCAGAAACTGAAAAAAACGAGGTTGAGTCCATGCATGGGGTTTCTCCTTTGTCTCCTCTTAAATTGTAATATTTTATTATCATTGTTTCAATCATAATCTATCGGATTAATACTTGTTGTGTTTTTAAACTTGGAAGTCTTTGTCTAATTGAAAGGGATTCTTATTTAGCTACAGAAATAGTTTAATTGTACATCTGAAAATCAGATATGTAAATGTAGGATTGACAATTAGTGATGGGTCAACTTCTCCTGGCTTGCTTTGTATCTACTTTGTCTTTCAAAGTCTTTTCTTCTGCACCATCACTGGTTCCCCCATCCTTAGGCTCAACCTAGCAGTGTAAGTGGAGAGAGAAACCATCAATGAGGAAGGCTGACAATAGCCCGATGCTTAAGTTGCTAGGATTCCTAAAAGCAAGAGACACCCATAGAACTTGTATCATGTAATGCAGGGTCTTTAGTGTCTGTCAGCTCTTTGATTAACTAAGAAGGTCAGAGATTTTTATGTGTAACTAAAAGTTTAGTTTATTAGGGTGCAATCCTACAGTCCCTGGGGACCATAGAACTTTCTTGTAGCAAGAATGAAGGTAGAAGCAATGAGAGACAACTTAAAAGACTAATGCTAAAACTTAAAAATTGAGGTCTCTCTTTTATTTCTTGCTTAGTTTTTGCTACAAGCTTATTTCACTGTTAAAATCCAAGCAGTCTTGAATGCTCCATAATATGCATTTAAACGTATGCCGCCTTATATTCACATGATTCTTTCTAGTTCAAATATGGAGGTCCACTTGTGAAGTACAGTAACTGGAAACTGTACACGGAATAATGGCTTATCACATTTTAAATCTTTGATTTGACGTTTAACCTTCATGTCAAGAAGAGTTAACTTTTCCCCATTATTCACAGAATATTTTTCTTTGAAAAAAGTCAGCACAAATTCACAGGAAACGGAATTGTCAAATCAATTCCATATAGCAGCATATGAAGTGAGTCACTGAGTGAAACTCTTCTTGATGAGCACATTAGGAAAATTGGCATTCAGTTCTAGGACAACTCTATTATCAATTTGTGAACAGAAGGACACGTCAAGTAAGGAAAGATCTTTGCAAGACTCCAGCAATTTTCTTAAAGAAGCAGGGCTCACCATTCTTGTGCCTAGAAAAGAAAGGGAGGGGACAAAAGGGAAAAGAAACCAGTTGAAAGTTACATAAATAAACAGAGTACAATGTGCTGTTGGGAAGGTGAGGAAGTACAATGTTTATTGTCAGTAAAAAGATTTCATTTTAATGGGGCTTTCCCTTATCCAAATCAATAGTATAAACTGAAGCCTCTCTGACATCCACACACAGGCTTAAAGGGCAGTGTGGCATAGTGAACCCAGAAGACTTTGTTCACCCCTGAAACTCACTGGATGGTCTCTATAAGGTTGCTGTAATGATAAAAAGGGCTACTCATCTTCTTTGAGAAAGGTAGAATAAAATGTGTGATGGTGGGGAATTAGCAGAAAGTCACATAATAGTCATTAGTTTCACACTAACTGCCTCCTTTCCTATTATCCTCTCTGACACATACTGGAAACCCAGTTCTGTGTACCGTACTCGCTAAGTCTTCTATCAATAAAATGGCCCAGTTGAGACTAGCCCAAAGCACTAACTACAGAAATCAAAACACGCTCTGCACAATCTTTGCAGTGTGCGGAAATGTGGTTTAATTAAAACAAAAGCATGCCTTGTCAATCTGTGTTCCATCCACAACTCCCCAGATGCACCCGCTGTGTTCTTGTGAATATTTAGAGAGGGACATCACTTAGAAAACAGGTCAGAAGAAATCATACATCATATACTTTCCTCCAAGCTTCATGGCATTAACCATCAAAAGGCATTAATATAACATTTCACAGGGCTCGTTCTGAATTTTTGATAGTTTCTGTCATTGGGCTACCTACCCACAATTAGTTTTAAATAATCACAGATAAAAACAGTCAATTTTTTCCTTGTACAAATTATTTGATACAGGCATGCTAAGGTGTGCTTAAGACCACCTTGTTGCCAACAAGCAGAATTTCATTCCTTTGCTTTATTTACCATGTGTATATCTATTCAAAAATCTGAACAGTGGGTTGTATTTGGCTAAGTCCTATTCAGAGTAGACCCACAGAAATGAATAAACCTTAGTCATGCCCATTAACTTCCAATAGGTTTACACAGGAGTAGGACTAGAGTTGTTTACTACCCGGTGGGGAAAGAAGTTAGAACAAGTACGGTATCTTCAGATTGTTCTCTAAAATGTTCTTGGAATCCGACAGCTCCCAAGACAGGGAATACTGCATTGAAATGGTGGTGGAAGGGTTAAAGAGTGGCCTGGGAGTTCTGTGGAGACCTTTGGAAGGGAAACTCTTAGAAATTCAGGCGCAAGATGCCTTTCTGGAGAGGGGACTATGTTATTAATGTGCTGCTTATTTCTGTACAGAAACTGACTAACTGCATTTTGAAACTGTCAAGGAAAGCTGATGATTTTGACAGCCATGAAGGGGACAGTTGGAGCTTTTGGCATTCTAGGAAGATGTGGGAGGTTTTTTTGGGGGGGGGGGTTTACAGCATGTACGAGGTAGTGAAATATTCTTGTACAAGGGGGAAACGCATTGTTATTCCTCCTTTCATGCCCGGGTGGTTTTACATATTTGAAAATAGAGCTTTTAAATTTGTGTGAACTTACCTAGAATTACAGATTTTAATTCAACGACTTTGGATAGCAACTGATGTATTGTGCATACAGATGGCTTAAACCCACCACATTCTTCTAAGCTGTACTTTATGCTGCCTGGCTGCAGTCAAAATATCAAAAGGGAGTTTGTTTTTCTGGAGCATGTTCTTTGCCCTTATTTAAGCATAATCCACACATATGCTGCAGTTTATGTGATCACACAATGGCACTGCATATGGTGCCCTGCAGGCAAGGAACAAAACTATGTATTCCACTTTCACATATTACCCATTTTCATACTTTAATCAGTCCACTAAACCTGGCATTTCTTCGTGGATTGAAGAAAAACAACATCATCCAACAGGTTGACCAAGTTGCAGACTTGCAAATAGGTAAGTCCTTTTAGTTGTGCCTCTCAAATTCAGTAACTGCGCTGATTCCTGAATCAAAATTTCTACAGTAGAGAAACTAAACATTTTGCTGTGACATCTTTCTCTGTTCTTAATTTTTTGTTATTAGCGCCAACAAGAGAGCTAGATGGGAAAGGGGGCAAAACTAACTTTCCAAAAGAAGGGATTAAAGTTCTCCCTATGGAAGAGATTACAGAGATTTAGGCAGAGACTGAGCTCAAGAAGGAAGTACATACAGGTGTGGGAGATGGGAGTGCACTGAAGCAGTCAAAAGTAGTGAAGGCAAGTCTATCTGCATTTTTATGGATTCAGTTATTGTTGTAAGACATCTTCAGCCTTGAAGAGTTTGGAATTTAAAATTTAAAAAATACTTATATCCCATGCCTGCCTCCCAAGCACCTCAGTAGTAGTAGAAGCAGCTTGCAGCAAAGATTTTAAGATGAATAAAAACAATATGTTAAAGCATAAGATTTACCATGGGACACAGGTGGCACTGTGGGTTAAACCACAGAGCCTAGGGCTTGCTGATCAGAAGGTCGGCGGTTCAAATCCCCGCGATGGGGTGAGCTCCCATTGCTTGGTCCCTGCTCGTTTCCGTGTGCTGCTCTGGTTCGCCAGAAGTGGCTTAGTCATGCTGGCCACATGACCCGGAAGCTGTATGCCGGCTTCCTCGGCCTGTAAAGTGAGATGAGTGCCGCCGCAACCCGAGTCGGTCACGACTGGACCTAATGGTCAGGGGTCCCTTTACCTTTACCTAAGATTTACCACACAGCTTAGAAAACACCCAAAGCATCACTAATCCAACAAACCATATCCGTTCTAAAAAGTAAGGTCTTGACTGATCCCCTAAAATGTGCAAAACAGTCCTTTCTTTGGAAACAAAATTTCAAATCCATATTCTATTGGAATACGAAACAGCATGACTAAATAGAAAAATGCCTCAGGCTTCGATCCTAAACACACACTTGAACACAATGGGACTTATTTCTGAGGAAACACAAAGAACTGGGGAGGCTTTATTAACCACTGCCATGGAAAAATTGGTGGAAATGCATATTTTAACTTTATACAAGGGGTTTGGTGTATTGTTTTCTTTTGCTGTATGAAAGTTTGAGATCAATCCATCTGTATAGATGGGCTTCTGTAACACCAGCAAAGATGGAAGAATCCTGCTGTCTATGCAGTCACACAGCATGACACTTGTGTAAATGAACAACACCCTTCTTACCACATTACACTGGAGCAGCATTTTTTCTAGGCCTGGAATACCCAGAAGTAGTGCTTTGATTTTATGTGTCAATGAATTAGCTTCTTTTGGCTTCCTCTTTACATGCCACAAACACAGGAACATTCATATGAACTATTTAGTATGGATATTTCAAGACTGTGTATCAGAACACAAAGCTTTCCATTATTATTGTACTTTTGGCTAAGATAGTTAACATGATGTGTAACCTATAAAAACAACTCCTTTTTAACCTTCATGAAAAAGCTTTCATTTTGACTAGCAAAAGCTTTCTACGGTTTTAAGCTGTAGTTTAAGTTTTAAGCTTTTGGGGCTGGGGGGGGTGCGGAGACAGTCTCTTATACCAATTGCAATAGGAAATGAAAAATTATGCTGATTTCTTTTTCAAAAAATAAAAATTTGGTTTCTTTTTGAAGAAAGAAGCCCAACAGAGCACTCTATTATGTGCTCTGCAAGAAGCTGTTTGATCATAAGGTTCACACTTTATAAATATATCCTGTCACACGCTATTCAAATTCCAAGAGCTTTTGAAAACCGGCAATTGCAGTTAAAACATTTTCAGGAAATCATCAGAAAACTAGTCCCTTTAGCAGCAAAGGATAAACGATTAAACAAATTTGCTGCCTGCTTCACAATCCAGTAAATCAAAGAATCTGGAATTAAACTGGTCTAACCCCATAATCCATTACGCTTTGAACCCGTGAGAGCATTCTCACGGAAACTTTTTATATGTGAATCATGAACCCAGTATTTACTTTCAAGACCACATCTTCTTTTATACAACACATACAGTTTATCTTCTGCTGTTGATACAACCGATCGATTTAAAGAAGATCCAAGTGTTTTTATGGCTACTCACCCAAAATATCAAGCTGCCGGAGATTTGTACAATTTGCAGCAAGTTCATCTATGTCAGAGTCACACACAGACCTGTTGGCTGTCAGAAAGAGCTTTTGCAAGTTTGGGAGTTTGCGCGCAAGGTGCGCAAAGCAGCCGGTGCTGCTCTGAAGGGTTGGGCACCAGCCAAGATCCAGCTCCTCCAACAGTGGACAGCCGGAAGCTAGCTCTGCTATTCCATTTTCAGTAATGTTTTTACATCGCCATAAATCCAGCGTACGAAGTTTTTTGCACTTGGCTCCCATCATGCTAGCTATTGTGTCATAGTCTTCAATCTGTGAAGAAATAACACTCATTTGGAGGATACTGGTATTTATACCCTCAATCTTGCATTTAAAATTATGAAACTGTTAGTTGCAGGTTGGACACAAGTACCACAAATTTCAAGCGTGTTTATAAGCAAATTGTCTTTAATACCCATATGCAGCCTGCAAACATTATTCTGTGCAACATCACACACTTCAGGTCTCCTAAATAGGGATAGCCAGTTTGCCAAGAGGTCATGGGTGGCCCCCAGGGACCCCCTCACCTTCATTTTGTGACTATTTGGGATACACCACGTGGTAAATTCTGTATTGAAGCAATTCCATATACTCAGGGAACACAATGTTTAAAAACCTGTTTCATGGCAGAGTATATGGGTGGCAACCATCTTGATAATGTCACTTAGGCTATGAGTCAGTCATGAGTGGCACCATGAATATTCTTCAACTATAGAGGATTATTACTCAAATGAAACTATCTGTTTTATTACTCTGCCACAAAATTAAGCATGCTCCTATTTTTAAACTGCTTTGCTTTAAGTGCTATGCTTTTTAATGGGTTTGTTTTATATATATAATATTTTAATGGGATATATATATATATATATAGCATTTTTAATGTTTTGACAGAGTTGTTTTATTGTGTATTTGAATTAAGTGTAGACACTTTATAATTGATTTTATACTTGCAAACTGCTTAGAAGCCATTTTGGCATGAAAGTGGTATATAAATCAATGAATAGTAGTAATAATACAATGTCTGTTCTGCAGAAGAATTGTGATACATAGGAGCAGGGAAGCTGCAGGTCATGGACCAATCACCGATAACACTGTATAGTTATTTCCTATACTTTTCTGGGGGGGTAGGGAGTACTTGCAAAACGCAGTCATGGCTGCTGCAATCTGGCTGTGTGTGACACTGGAAAGCAGAGGGCGAAATAGGGTTGGGATGTAAACTATATAATGTCCACTCCACTCCACACACAAAATGGTTTTCCATGGCAGATTTCGGCTTCTGCAGTGGAATCTGATGAATAATTATAATTTGAGCTTGGGAGGGGGGAATATACAACTCAAAAACATATGCAGTCTAGCTCATAATCCTAAAGGTGCATAAGTAGAAGGAAATGAACGTTTAAAAATCTGGAAGCTATATATTTGAATATACACATGCACGTGACAAGCGACATCATCGTATGGGAAACACCACAACAGGGATTTCCATGACTTGAACTAAATACATAAATTAATTCTACCCACCTATGACTATACACAGGAGGATTTCTGCAATTCCTACAAAGTAGCCCAAGTGATGAAATAGAAGCTTGGCAGATGGACAGATGTAAATTCAAGCAAACATTTCTTTTATCTTTTTATAAGAAGTGCATAGGTATTAGATGAAAGGATGAAAACAGGCAGTTAGATTTTTCTGCAAGTGAGCTGGGAAGTCTAAATTCTGATAACATACACTGAGCCTGGACTTTTAAAACTTACCATTACACAGCTACCCAGGCTGAGGTGCTGAAGATCTGAACAGAAGTTCAGAATGCTGAGCAGTGCTGTTTGCTGCCATTGGGGAACACATCAGAAGCAAATATAGAAAGCAAACACAAAGAGAAAGGGTCAATTAGACATTAAAGGCTGTCACCACTTTCCCTGAAATTCAGCTCAAAACCTAGGTAACAGACACCACAAATGCCATTTAATGAGTCCCCAGATGCTCTAACCATTGATTGGCTTAGAGTCAAGGTAATCATTACAAGCCTTTATATAATAAGTCACTCTGGCTGTGGTTTTGCATGCCCTGAAGACACCTTTATTCCCATGACCTATCAGTTCTTTTCCCTTAGGAAAGCTCTTAGAAGTCTGGCAAATTCAAACAACAAGCAAGGCCACACCAAAAACACAGAGGGCTGGTGACATCCCAGAAAAGTACAGCATCTCTGACATTCACTGATCGGCTGCAGCCTGATGGAACTGCCAATAGAGTCACACAGCATCAGGACCGAGCTAGTGACTTTAATGTCACAGGATGCTCTTGCTGACAAGGGTACTGACAATCATCGAGCTCCTGTCACTAGCAACATACAGATGGAAACAAATACAACGTGCACTTTACAGTCATGTTGCTGCTATTTTAAACATACTTATGGTGAGGTGCCACATCATTAAAACACAGCAAGAGGAACTCCACCAGAATATCAGATGCACCTTGCGAAATGGCCATTTTTTTTTGAGGTTGCAGTAAGCATTACAACATTAGGCATATAATACACATCTCACACAAAATAATCACAAACACATATTCTAAATTAGTAGTCCAAGTTGTCCTGAGACGTAGTTTTCTGTATTTCGTATCTTAGTCTGAAGTGTGATATTTAGTTTAGAAATAGGCTTCACAGGAAAATAAACTGGGGACCAACATAATTAAATAAAAATTCTGAATGATTTACTTCTACTAGAGTAAAAACATTAAAAATGTTGTATTTTAATGTAACATAATAAGTTTGGTGTATTTCTTTGAGGCTTGAAAAAGACTTTTTCAGGATTTTTACTGAAGGGAAAAAAATGCATAAATACATGTCACAGTTAAGCATTGATGAATAGTGAGTAAGTCTTATCTAATCACTAATTATCTGCCTGCAATGTCAGATTAATGTAACAATTGGCAATATTGTGCAAAAGTTAGTTACTATTAAAATGTAACCGCCACAGTGGTTGATACGTTTAATGTTAGTAAACTGCTAAATAACTTTTAATATTTCTGTAAGCAAATACTGATTTTCAGTATTCAAACATATGTTTGATAACCTCTTTAGTACTGTAGTCTTTTTCTTTTTTTGCAAAAAATGTATTAGTTTTTACAATATCAACGACAAAGAAAAACACAAAACAAACAAAACATAACAAACATAAATCATACCCTTATTGAAAATAACAGTTATTTACTTTGTAAAATGACTTCCTCGTTTCCCCTTAGTTGAATTTCATTGCATATCCTTATAACGGTTTTTCAAATTAGTACTGTAGTCTTTATGGACAATTGATTATTATCAATTATTAAAGGCACAAATGAGTTCTAATCAGGCTTACTTTAATATACAGACATTATGACTCAATAGGTTTAGTCTTCAAAGGAATATTTCTACAACATAAGGGGAGATGGAGAAAAGAATGGAAAGGGCAAAGTGCAGCTTTCACAATGCTGCACAACTCCATTTATTTAATGGTGAAAGAAAATGAAAGCCAGACTAATCAAATATAGTTGGACATGCCTTATTCTACTGAAGTATTTATCAAGCTTTTGTAACACACGCCCCCTTAGCCAACATAAAAAAAATCCCATGTTCCTCCTCAAACCTGGCTCCTGTAATTATTTTATTTGAATTTTCAAATGGAGTGATATGTTGTGACTTTCACATTTTTACTTATATTGTGCGTATTGTTTGAAAACACTCACGCCCCCCTCCTGCCCCGCCCCCCCGATCTAGTGGAGATATATTGGGATTATCATAAATATAGCTTTTTGCACTTCAGGATGTTTGCTTATTGCTTGCATGTGTTTTACAGTATTTATTTTAATATTGTACGCTCTGCCTTGGTTAGGCTTCAAATATATTTCCATTCTTTGTTTTGCCTACCTCATAGCAACTGTCACAACTGCGTTGGGCATTGGGGCAATCCTTTGTCTTGGATGGAGGGGAGGTCGTAGTCTCTGCCTGCCCCTCCAAACATATCCTGTTAAAGTGATCGAGGGAGAGTGGCCATGTCCATGTGCCCTGGTGTGGCCAGGGCCAAGGGAATTCCCCCCAGATGACGGTCCCCGCAGGCGTCACCCTATTTGATATAATTCTTAGGAAGCCCCTGCCTGGAGTGACCTACGTGCCAAACCTCTTTCATCTGCGTTAAATACAGTTGTGGCCTGTTTCGATCCAAACCAGTCTATGTGGTCCTTTATTTGTCTGCGGGTTGGGGACTGGGGAGCACAATGCCTGGACATGCAATTGAAATGAAAATAAACAAGTTGTATGATTCTATTTAAACAGGGCCACTTTAAGACATATTTAGAAGTGAGTTTTTTGGTGCAAATTAGGACAAAATGTACTGTGCTTTGGGGGGGGAATTACATATATGTTCGGAAAACTGAAAGAAGTATTTTGTTGCTTCAGGCAACTTTTATACTACAGGGGATATACAGTGGTACCTCGGGTTACATACGGTTCAGGTTACAGACTCCGCTAACCCAGAAATAGTGCTTCAGGTTAAGAACTTTGCTTCAGGATGAGAACAGAAATCATGCTCCGGCGGCGGGGCAGCAGGAGGCCCCATTAGCTAAAGTGGTGCTTCAGATTAAGAACAGTTTCAGGTTAAGTATGGACCTCCGGAACGAATTAAGTACTTAACCTGAGGTACCACTGTACCACCTTTTTTGGGTGCAGCAAGAAGGACTTTAAAGGTGGCAGGGAGAAGATGAGTATGTACCCAGATTGCAGATTCCTTAAGATACTAGATTGCAAATAGATTGCAAATCTATTCCCCATTAAACACTGTTCAATGCCAGTTCTAAGATGTTACCATGTTGTACAAAATATATAATTATACAAACATAGGTTTGCAACAAGTTCTAAATTATAATTCCTATTATGTACATTCAAATGCAACAACAGCATAAAAAAGTTTGAAATGGTTGGGTAGTTAGTTACACAACATATGAATTGATACTTTATTTTTAAAAACATGACATCCTGATGCTTTTGAATGTAAAAGCACTAGAATCATAGATTGGATAGCTTCATCAAGATATCATGTTGGCTCCAACACAGAAGTGGAAACAGAAAATCAAGATAAGAATCAAATCAAGATAACATACATATACAAGCCAAAATAATGATGTGTATTGTCAAGTTACTATGAACAAAGTACTTTTATTGTCCATTGTGCACCTCAAATGCATCAATGCCAACAAATTCTGGAAGTATGCTGTGAATGCATATTCAATGAATAAAGGATTAAAGAGTCAGCAAATACTAAGACCACCAGCACAAAACTCTTTTGAGTACAACTGCAGTCTTAATTTAGTATAACTTAAAGATTACTTAGATGACTGAAGCAAAATTATAACTTGTAATAAGTGCTTTCAAAAAGTAAGAATATTTAAGTTGTAATTATTTATAATTAGAAAATTTATTACATCTTGGTTTTGTACACAGTTGGTTGCATTTCATGAAGGGAAACTACCGCTAGATTGTTTAAGCAGAAGGCTAAGTCTCTTCTAAAAGGCATTTTCAAATGGTAAAATTGTTCCACTATTGGCCCAACACAGAGATAACTAGCCATGTGCATTGAATAAACATGGGGTGACGTAGGTTTGTAATAAAACTGGCTGCAATTGCAGCCAATAATTTGAGCCTGAAAATGAAACATGTGTACATGTGGATCTTCTGCCTGCACATACTTTAATAACCCATAGACTACAACAGGTGTATTTTCCATTGGCAGCAAGGAAGTTATTTACGCTTGCAGAACGCAAGCTGTTGTTACATCTGTGTGTAAGTAACTCACAAAACAGATCAGGAAAAAATTATTTTACTAACCTTAAATTTACTAACCTTCGGTTACTAAGAGAAAGATGTGCTATTGTTGAAATTGAAACTTTAAACAAAATTATTGTGACTGATGCTTTGGCAGTCACTGACTCAGGATGGAGGAAACTTATGGCATTCCCCCCCCCCCCCGACTTTCGCTTAGATGACTCTCAGGACATCATAGGAGCAATCAGCATTCCAGGAGAGAGCAAGTTAAGTTACACATGATAGAATGGATGGTATTGAATTCCCACCATACACATTAAAAATCCTGAGGGATTAGGGAGCAAAGAAATGCAGTAAACTAGGGATGTATCTATACTAGCAGATGCAAGCTGTATTTATTAGCTACAGTCTTAAGTATGAAATCCAGTGATGGCTGTCAACCAACAAAACTGACACTGTTGATAGAACATATTTCCCTTTGTGTTCCCTCAAAATCTGCTCTGGAACACTGAGGGATCCTTGGGATAGATCTGGGAGGGGGAGGGGAAATCCTATGTGTGATATTGGATTGCTGTATATATTTTTTTCTTGAATTTTTCAAACATGAGTACTTCACTGAAGTTACACTCTATTCTGTTTCTGAGGCTTAAGTCTTATCATCACTGATAAAAGAAGAAGAGAAACTTTACCTCTACTTTCGTTCGGTAGAGAATTAGACGTGTAAGGTTGCACAACTTGGCAATGTGATTGAAAGCCTGAGGTGGTAGCTTATCACAGGAGGAGAGATTTAATTCTTGAAGATTCAGACATGTCTCAGCAATGACCTCCAAGCAAGCCTCGTTGAGGAAATGACCACAAGACAACTCCAGCCGCACTAGTTCTGAACCACAAACCTTCAAGAATCTGTAAAAAGCACATTGTCATGTGGGTTAATTCAACAAGGAAAGCAGCATCTTTGCTTACAGTAGTTTAAATTGGGGGGGGGGGGACCACCTGGATAAAGCCCAGTTATTTCTCTTGCCATGTTTTAGTAGCTTGAGAACAATGCTATGCATTCCTAATAAGAAGCCTTATTAGTAAAGCAACAGCTTAAACACAGAACTGAGGGGGGAGCATAATCAACACCAGGGACCAAGAGAAAGCAGTTTAACCAGCCAAGAGAAGTTTCCTCACAGCTGCAAGAAGGAAAATTCTGCCATGGAAGCATCATGATACACCTAAACCAGAAAGCTAGAGCCCATTTTGTAAATTACAAAATCGGTACTCAGAAATGCTGCAATGTGTGCATACTGTGGGAATTCAATTGTAGCTTCTGATGTACGTACAGTCAAGCCTCGGTTCTCGAATGGCTCCATTTTCGAACGTTTCGGCTCCTGAACGCTGAAAACTCGGAAGTAAATGCTCCGGTTTTCGAACGTCTTTCGGAACCCGAACGTCCGACGTGGCTTCCGCGTGAGTACAAGAAACTCTTGCAACTAATCAGAATCCGCGCCTCAGTTGTCAAATGTTTTGGAAGTCGAACGGTCTTCTTGAACGGATTACGTTCAACAGCCAAAGTTTGACTGTATATGCAAATAACCACACAGACATGTAATCATCACACATTACAGGTTATTGGGTTCACGCTTGGGTTTTAAGTTAATTTCTACACCAAAATGTCTCCTCTGAAAGCATTTTGTAACTTGTGAAGCAGTTATTTGTGTTCCAAAGGTTTCCCATATATCCTCACAGCATAGCATGTGCCTTAAGTCTAAATGCACTGATATGCTTGTCGCTGTGAGGGACAGTAGTGTCAGGGAGACCCGAACTGCATGCACACCGTACATTTAAAGCATCCCCCTCAAGAATCCTGGGAACTGTAGTTTTTAAAAATGTGTTTTGGGAATTCTAGTTCTGTGAGAGTTAGGCTACAGTTCCCAGGGTGTTCTGGAGGAAAATGTGCCTTAAAATATGGTGTGTACGCAACCCGGGAAACAAGAGAATGATGATGGCAGAAACTACTGTCTCTAGATTAATTGTGACACACCAAGAAAACAGTAAGGAAGGGACAGTGTTGGGACAAGTGAGTACAGGCACAAATAAACGGAGCTTATTTGCAGACCAGATCACATTCACAAAGTCCAATAGAGTAAAAGCAAATTTTCTTAGGATCTGTATTTATTACTGAATTTATCCTAATGCAGTTTTCCATTGATCAGAAGAAGAATCCTCTAGAAGTGCTAACATAGTTTTTTTTCCATTAAATATTATTAGTATCAATTATACCATGCAATTGAAATTTTGAAACACATCAAGCCCTAGAATTTTGGCATCACATTATTTCATACACATTTTACATACATAAGAAGCATACTGTAGAGGCTAATTTTTGTAACATTGTTGTACTGCGAAATTTAAGACCATAAGACACCAAGCCAACTTTATTCAAGTAATGTGAACATCCTAGACAAATTCTTACATAAGCATTCCTTTAATTTTCACTCCCCCCAAATCCCCCCCACAGAATAAATGTAAATAGATTTGTTTCATTGTCTTCACAATTTACAATGTTACATGTAAGAAAGGGATTGAAATCTCAACTTTTAAAGTATAATTTCTTTAAAATATAATTTCTTGCTCCCAAAACACTCAAATATTTTGCAGCAGCACAAACTTTATCCTGCTATAATTGACATTAGGAAATGTTAAAAACTCTGCTGCTCTTCTGATGCCAAATCAGAATTATCTGTATGTAACATGATTATGCGCACCATTTTCTCGATTCACATGCCATTCTTTCACTGACAGAGCAATATAAAATTATTCAAATATATATTACTAAATTTGATTTATTGTCCCAATCAGTATTTCCCAAACTCCCTTTTTAGCTCAAGCACAGAAGTTTAGCAAACTTAGTAATTCTCAAAAGTAAAACATGATGACATTCTTATATAGCCCTAAGGAGATGGACATTATCAATAAGTTAAATTACCTTCAGCTTTGCCTCAGGATGTTCACATGCCTGAAGCATTCTGTCCTCTCATGGTAATATATCCTTTGCTTGTCAGATTTCTTAGATCACTATTCTAATTTGTTCTATTTCCTTGGAGTTAATACATATTCTACCGATACTCAACATTTTCAGAAATATAAACAAATAGCTAGCTAGCTATATCTTTAAAGGACTATAAACATAATCTAAAGTTTGGCCCCCAAAGGATAGATATACTAGGCAAAGCTACCTCTTAGTTTCTTTCTACCTAAAAACTAAAATCCTGGACAACTTACTCATGGGTCCACAAGCATCAATATACTGTAATAAGATGGGCTGAGGATTGCAGCCTAACAGTGTTCAACCAATGGGCTGGGTCTAGGCTAACCACAAGAGGAGCTCTGCCTATATAGCCCTTGAAAACCTGGACCAGCAGGCAGAGGGACCTTCAGAAACCATATGGGAGGTGATGTGGGGAACTGCAGGGGAAAGGGGGAGGGAATTGCTTCTGCTCCCTTCTCCCACTGAGTCCTTCCATGTATCTTTCATTTGCAAAAGGTAGGTCTACATCCAGCCCAATAACTTCTAGATGGACAGTTACTTTTTTAAAAAAATATGTCTGACATAAAAATTGCTAATATTAAAAAATTAGGTTAAAAATAGCAAACCACACTTTTAAATCAGTACCATACAAACGATTATAGCCCAGTCTTTCATGAGTTTCCATTCTCCACTAAGCATCAAATAATATTTTTCTGCTCTGTCTATAAGCATCTTGGGTCATCATAATTCCTTAACCTGACTTCCCAATCTAGTAGAGAAGCTCCAAGGGCGCGAGGCTACTACTATTATTGAACTGACCATGAGGATGTTGTATATATGATGTTGAATATCTGTAAATAAAGTGAGTAATAAAGTATATGAATCAAAACTAATACGAAAGCCAGTATTTCGCTTAACCTGGTTAAAGGTTGGGAACTCAAGTTCTGCTGTCCTGGCTAGATTGCCTATCACAAAATCGAAAGGCTGAGCAAGATCAAAACCCACCGAAACCCTGGCACTAATATGTGGAACTGCAACATTCTGGAACTCTTCTTGCTAGCTTCTCTGTTACTGCTAACCTTTTAGAAATGGCATTATGTTGCCAATTCTTCAGTGAAGCCTACCTTCTCTGACCCAATAAGCATTCCTCATTTCTCTCAGATAGGTAATTATTGCCATGATATAGGGATCCATAAACAAAGCAGTGGCAAGTCACAGGCCTCGCTGCTTTAGTATGGGTCCACTTACATCTCTACCACTGTCAAATACGGCTTTAGTGGCCAACTGTTTGACAGGTGGAAGGGAAATGGCATGGGATAAAATGGCAGAGACCACAGAGAATTAGGCTGAACTTACCCTCAACCTTCACTCCAAGGAGAGAGCAACACTGCCTCTGACACACACAAAAGCCAGTTGTTAGAAATGTAGTTATGTGTCAAATTCAATTCCCCTCTGCTGCTGCTGCTGTAGAAACCCACACCTGTCCTACCTGAAAGGGGTGGGAAGCAGGGGTATGGGGATAATTCTCAAATATTTAGTACATCATGATTCAGAGCACTGACCTGCTAAAAGCAGATAGAGAAATGGTTCCTCTGTTTCCAGTCCAAGATAAATTCAGCCACTGGACAAGGATACAGCGAGACTGTAGGTATTCTAGAGCTGTGTCGTTTATTCTTGCCCAATAAGGTTGCAAACTGAGGTGAATGTACTGTAGAGGATCACAGCAGTGCTGATAAAGTAGCTTACATGTCTGCGATAGTCTACACAGATCTGGGACTGCAAGGTGACTCAAAATCAACTGGATAAGCTGAATTGAAAACACAGAAAAGAACATCACACCACTGTCCTTAAAATTACAATTTCCACTGCATTTGATAATATATCCCATTAGTTCACTGATTTTTAAAAAGTGAATACACTTAAGGGGAAAAACATTTTCTGTTCCTAGTCATTTTTCTATTTAGTGCTTCTTTTGTTCCTCTCTACCTTGCATTTTAAAATACTTTACATAATTAAACTTCATTTAAAAAAAAACACCTGCTTTTCTCTCTTTAAGGATTTTTAAAACCATGCATTAGCATAACAGAAGGTATTTCTGCTTTCAAGATTAAAAAACAACACCAGTTGAGTCCTTCTCTCTCTCACACACGGACACACACACACACACACACACACACACACACACAGCTTGCCCAACACAAACATACAAAATCAGCTATTTCATTATTTGGCATGATTATGTTCTTTTTAAGTTCCATTAATGTCTATCAGAGAGTGAAGCACATTATTAACTCCCTTCCATTGAACTTAATGGGGCTTGATTGTGTCCACCAAAAATGCAAATGCCCTGAGATCTTTGGATGAAGGGTGGGATATAAAATAAATAAAATAAAAGTTAGATCTCTTGAGACCCTATAAATTAAGATACCTGGGATATAAATATTAGAAATATTCTACAAGTTATTCAGAATTTAGCCACATGACTTATATCTTCTCACATAGCCAAAACAAGAGTCAAGTATAACAACTCAAGTTCATATGAACAGAAAAATCAAGTTTGACATTAATATAAAAGAACCAAAATCCACACTGAACTGTATACTCCAAATGCTGTCAGAGATACATGATGGTTTTCGTTTTATTGTAAGCAAAACAGAAATATAGGATTTTCAGAATTGCAGACTGACTTATTTTACAATGACACCACAATACCAATAGCTGCGCTGGTGATAGAGTAGGAATCAAGTCAGTCCTGTGCAAGAGGCAAGTTTTCTTCCATACTATGTGTTATTGTGGTTCATGTAAATTGCACTGTTAGTATTTTTTGTTTGTTACAAAAATAGGATGAGGCTGAAATACTTTGTATGCTGTTATTTGTGAGCCCACACATCAGCTAGTCAAAGAAGTACAAAGTGAATTTTCAGACTGTTAAATTGACGACATTCCTTGCCATTGCAGTGAAAATTGTAAAGGAAGGTTTAAAAGGAAAATAGTGTTCTTTTAAAGAGAACAAAATTATGCTTCTCATATTTCTCTACTATAACATGGTTAATAAGGATATGAAAAACTCAATAATGTCCCCTTTAACTAATTTCATTTTTAATGTATCTGATAATCTACACATCACTAACTCTGCATTAGAGATAAAAAAATCTTTTAACATGTCAGTATCAACACCAGAAAAGTTAATCCCACTTTAGACTAAAATTACACTTCATGATACCTGAAATGAAAAGGGTATAATGAAATGTCAGTAAGATTATGACATTAAGATGTAACTGAAGTACTTTTTTTGCTTTTGATTAAACAAAGATAACAGCTTCCAAGCCTAGAGGCTAATAGCCATTAATCATTACTACTTTAGAGTCTGGTGTCTTGTCAGAAATTTGCTGTGTGTGTGAGAGAGAGAGAGAGTGCGCGCGCGCCCTAGCATAAAGCACAATTTGATACTATAATGAATAAGTGAGGAGACATGATGTGTTCAGAACGACTCCCAGAATGCTGTTGAATATCCGCTTTTAAAAACTAATCCTATAACATGCAGAGTCTATGCATTAATGAAAAAAAAAGGTAGCTGTTGTCTGTTTCTGACGGCTTTTCTTTTAAAAGTCAGTTTACAAAAAAGAAAAGAACTGTGGAGGGAATTTTGAAATATTTCTAAGACTTGTATTAAAAAAGGAAGAAATTAAAGAGGAGTAATAGTTCCCAAATTGAGACTGGTGTTATAGCCTTAACAAATGGCAGGGATTTAGAGCAGGGGTCAGCAACCTAAGGCCCGTGGGCCACAAGCGGCCCAAGGGGGTCGTTTAACTGGCCCACGAGCCACGAGCTGGCCCACGAGCTGCCCCCAAACTGAGTCGCTCGCTCGGCGAGCCCCCGTGCACTGCGCTAAACCAGAAATCACATCTGCACATGTGCAGGTGCCGAACATCGTGACTGCACGCAATCCGGCCCATGGAGGGATCTCTGCTGGAGTGAACCGGCCCAGGCAAGGTAAACCTCGGTGACCCCTGATTTAGAGTGACCCCTTTTCTTTTTACAAGAGGGGAAAATATATATCTCCTTGATTTGGTTTAGTATGAATCAATTAGTATCAATCAGTTTCCTCCATAATCAATACTATACAACAAACATTGTATACAACAAACATTGTATTTGAATAATTTCAAAAATTATTTTGCATAGTATAACCAGCAAGGATAAACTATGCTTGCAAAGGTTATTTTCCGTAACAGAACAAAAGAAGAAAGCTATTTTCATTGGGGGGGGGTGGAGTTCCATTAACAACAGAATTTCAGCTAGCTTTTTGTTGGATTTTGGTATTTTTACAAAATATTATTTGGATTTGTTTAATACCACTTTGAGAAGAACTCATCATTTATTTAAAACATATCAAGAAAATGGGATTTTGTTTTTAAAAATTATGGGCAGATTCCAAAGGACTATGAGTGAAGCCATTACCAATCACGGATATGAAGCTATCTTGTACCCTTGTATCCTAATTGGTTATGGCAATTCTACTTTAAAGTAAGAATCCCCACTCCTTTACCTCATAAGGCAATTTATCAAAGTATCCATTAGTTGTCCATTCCTTGAAGGCAACCGCACTAAACTGCTTATTAAGGATGTCCATGCTGCAGCTGTCTTGCTCTCCATCTTCTTCATCATCATCATCATCCAGATCATTCATATCAATCAATGACGTATTAAGAGAAAGCACAGGCCTCTCTCTCAAACCATGTAGTACTACTGCATCCAACTCGGTGTAGTAATCCAGAAGAGAACTATTCACTTCTAGACGAATTAGGTTTGTAGGAAAGTTTATCCGTTTGATACTAGGTGCAAACCGACGTGCCTGAGGTGAATTTACCTTGGTGGGTGGCTCTGACCAAAGGATTTCCCATCTACAAAAATAAAAGTATACATGTAACACCATTATTAGACAAAAAAATTTTTTTTAGTATTGGTAATGAAATTAAGTTCAAGTTGATAAAAAATACAGCATGAAGAAGACTAAAAGGGGGCTGATATAAAATACTCTTAACTCTTCTATCTCATAAAACTTAATAAATATCTCACAAAATAAAAAGGTTAGATAATATACTAACATTATTCACTGACTCCGATGTTGATTTCTTCTTAATATAGCACAATTTACACAGGTTTAGGAGGGAAAACTGAGAATGCACAGTGAACATGCATTTCAATAAGTGAACAATTAAAGGGGCTATTTAAAAAATTGCAGGTAATTGCAGATGAAGTGATAACCAACATATGTGTTTATGTGAGTGTTTTTCCAGACAATGGCTGTACAGACAGCACACATTTTATGGCAGAAGATTTTTCTGAGCCTTGATGCGGAAAAATGGTCTCCTTGGGATGCCAACTAGTACACGCCCAGTTTATGCAATCCAATATTTTGGAAATAAAACTTTAAAGATATTTTGATGTTGTTGTCGAAATAGCTCAAAAAGATGGAATTCTGAAGCAATTTCAAGAGCTATTTTGTCCAAGGACTGGCTTTATAATGAAGAAGCCATTGGTAGTCCACTATGGTAACACACAAATGCCCACCATTACGCTGAGAAGATTATGTTGAAATCCAAAGTTCTTCTGCCTTGAGATCTATGGATGAAGGATGGTGTTCAAATTTAATAAATAATGATGAATAATAACATGTGATGCAATATTGTCATTCTTAAGAGCTACTGTTCAGCTCCTTATCACCTATAGCAGCAGAGAAGTTTTTACAGCACAACACCATCCTATAAAGACAGAAGATTACAGGGTGCCATTGCCTAATTCTACCCTGGCCCCAAAAGCTATTTGGGATAATGGCTATATGGAAGCTCCATGTTCAGATATGGTATGGCACACTGAATATCATTTGCTGGAAAAGTTTATTGCCTTAAAGTCCTGATGGTGGGCTTTATGGAGGCAACTGGTTAGTCACTGGGGAAATAAAGAAAAGGGAGTAGGTGGATCTTCCTACAGAGTTCTTCTTATAATCTTCAGGACCTGTTGAAGACCAGCCAAGCAAGGGTTTGTGTCCTCTGTGCCTCCCACCCCACACCTTGTTGGTGGGTCTCAGCATCATCGAACCCGGTATGAAACACATCTACACACATATTGCTTAAAAAAAAACAACCCTTCAAAGTATTGTGACTAAACATCAACTTTGTCTGGATACCTATTCGGACATTTGGAGGGCATATGTTGAACTGTATGTGTAAATTAAGATTGATGTATTGATGTTTATTGTATTTTGAATATGAGCTGACTGTTTTGTTTTCTTCCCCCACTCTCTTTGTGTTGTGTTCCCCCTACTCTTTCAGTAATAAATTTGCATGCATATATATATATATATATATATATATATCAATCACATCTCATATCAAGGAAATGAAAAGTAAATTAATAAGATGAATTACCTTACTTCAGCAGGCAGCGTTTGGGAATAAGGACTTGCAGAACATGCCAAAATCCTAACGACAGCACCAGGGTGATAGGTTTCCAGGACATGTATTGCTGTGGGATAAACTGGTTCATCAAAAGCAAGCTCTACATAGTCGTGACTATGGAAATTGGGTGGTGTCCTTGTGAAAGGTGACCGTGCGCTAGGACAGACTTCCCACCACGTTCCGTAAGTTCGAAATACAGCAGTCTGTGTGAAGTCACCAGAGCTAGGGTACACATTAGGAGTTCCAGCCAAATTCCACATGGTGTATGACATGCTGTTTTCACTACCATAATGGGAACTGAAATCCAACACTTCTTTGGCATATTGGACCACTTCGACATTGATAGGTAAGGCTCTGTTTGATTCAATAGCTCTCCGATTGTTCATAGGTTCGCCCCTTGTAGCTGTCCTGGCTCGGCGTCGAAGGCAAATGTAGTAAAACATGCTCAGAACTGTTAACATGGGAAATGCTGGTGATATCCAGATAGCTATTATCAAGTTGCTAAAGGTCAGGGATCCTCAAGAGACATGCATTGCTTCTTTGTGGGACGTTTGGAAAAAACCAACAGGCACCTAAATCAAAACAAAAACAAAGAACAGTCAATACGAAAACTATTCAAGAAACAAAATTGCTTTTACTAGTTTGAGTTGGCCAGCCTTAAGTTGCCACTGCAACATTTGGGAAAAACAAGTTAGTAAAAGTTTCATTAAAATATTATTGTCTAACAAAATGTCTCATATTGCCTTAAAAACAAAGCTTGCAGACAAATCTTAGTTTTCACTTCATTTTTTGCAGTAGTAATAGTGAAAAGGCATCCAATTAATTTCAGAATCATAACCTTGGCCACTGTACTCAAAATAACATCATTTTGCATGAAAAGGCAGCATCACCGAACATGGACAGGTTATATAGCTATGCTGCCCTGCAATCTCACACCTCATTCACCATATGGAGTAGCAGATCACTGTGGTCCAAATGACATTAGGCTACATTGATCAAATCTGCCAAAAGCATGAATAAAATCCCCAAAATTAGAGAGATGCTATAATTGTTGCAGTAAATGCTAACAGGCTTCACGGCAAGCTACATCTGCTGAAATCCCCCTTCTATGTAACTATTAAAAGGTACAGAAACCCCATCCTCTTTTTATTTATGTCTGACTCTAGAAATAACTATTCTCCACACATTATTGAATTAAAGCAAGCAAGTCTATTGTTCCGCATGAATCTCTTTGCTAATGTAAATGTCTTATATTAGAAATCAGCATCTTTTGAGGTAAGAATAATGCAGCTGACCAAATACACCCTACTGATGGCATTAGTTAACATGCTCTGCAAGAGTTCCTTTCATGGGTAACTTTAATTTTGAAAGCATCTTCTGTGCTAACCAGATCTTGCAGTGCACCCCCAATGTCACACACCATGTTTTGACACACGAGGTGTATATTTTTAGGATTCACCTTAATTTTGTAATTGTCAGTTTTTAAAAGCTGTTTTCAATATTGTGTTTTCATATTGTAGTCCACCTTGGGACCTTAGGGTGAAGTGTGGGTTATTAGAAGAAGCAGAAGGAGGAGGAGAAGAAGAATTTGCATCTGAAAGCAGGCAAAGTATATAAATATGAGATGCACAGAATGGAGGCCATACTGAACAAATATATCAAGTTGTCACACATTTCAAACACCCAATAGAGTCACACTTAGTAAATCAAAACCTAGAAAAAATTAAAAAACACTTTATAAATTCAATATACAATAAATTTAATTAAAATTTTGTACCCCAAAATAAAAGTATAAAAGATAAATGAATAAAAATGGCTTTGCCATTGCCCAGAAATATTAACTTAAAGCAATGTTAATATAATTGAAGTACTTAAAAAAGATAATTTATACATAATATTAGTTTCAAATACATAATTACTACATTAACATAAGGAGGGAATGAAGCTACATTTTAATAAAAAGAACAAAAAGTTATGTGTTCAAAGTGCCTTAGTAATCCCAGAATTGTAGTAATCTTGACAAATATACTTATGTACAGACTTATGAGTCAAGATGACCCCCAAATTAATCTTCTTGTCTCTGCTCTTAGCTGTTTATCTTCAGCGGCAAAGAGAAGTGCCTATAACCTGTTGAATCTGCAACAGGGATGATGAAATACTTCTTAAAATAGATGCAGTATTTGTGTAACAGACATTTACTCGAACATGCACAACACAAACCTAAATGCTGCCTGCATTTCAAAGGCAAACTATTTATTTTGCTGGAAAACAAAGCCAAGAAGGTAGAGATAGCTTAATTCATTTCAACTCTATAAATTTTTAAAATATATTTAATCTATCTTCTCAGAGAGAACTTTTTTTGTTTTGACAGCTCCAGAATGACGAGTAAAACTCCACTGTTCTACAGATTTATCTGTTCATGCTCAAGAACATAAGATGAGCCCACTGCACCCAAAACCTCTGTAGTTCAGGGTATTTTCTGTTTTCACAGTAGCCAAGCAAAACCCCGGTGCAAACTTCACAATCCAGACATGAGCGCAAGAGAACTCTCCCACCCGATATCCAGCAACTGGGATGCTTGTACTCCATTCAGTAGCTGAGCAGAGATTTCACCAGTGCCAACAGTCTACTCCATCATCTTCTGCTTCAAACTAGATGCTTTATTTATTTTACGTAACGTGCATCATGCAAAACAGTACACTTGCCAGCAACCCACTCTGCTGGAGGGCCACTTCTACTAGGAAATGTCAAAGCCTCCAAAATGACTCCCACAAATGTCTCTTATTTACACCTTGTTTTCCTCCGGAACATGCTATAGAGAAAGTGAGTTGGACATTGTCCAAGAGTTCAGATTCAACCCAGTGGATGTTATTTGATTACTTGTAATAAGGTATGGTATAGTGGTTAAGGTGTCAGACTGGAACCTGTGATACTCGAGTTCAAAACCCCAATACAGTTATAAAACTCAGTGGCTGACTTTGGGACAGTCACTGTCTCTCAGCCGAACCAACTTGACAGGGTTGTTGCGAGGATCAAATAAGAAGAGCCTGAACTTCCCGTTTCCCTTATAAATTCCCCTATCAATCTAAATTAAAGGCTACTAAATCCTCACTATATCTGTTCCCCCGTCCCAAGACGTTAGTTTCTTCTCAATTTTAACAATTCAAAACATTCCTGTATGTTCAGGTCCTGTAGAATTGTCCCTAACATGTGTCATTTGCACAACTTCAACCTCTTCTTCATAGACCATTTACCATGTCTTTGTTCTCCACACCGTACAAAATAACTGCTGAAATTATCTTCCTCCCACCACTTTGTCACTGCCTTTTCCACTTCTCTCCATTGGTATCCTCTCACTCCCTGCATTCATTCCGAACCTCATCAAATTCAAGGCTTTGCACAACCATCTCACTGACGCTATTGCAGGGTGGGGCAGGTTTTCAGGCTTCTTGGATCTACAGTAGTTTGGGTTTGTTGGTTGTTGTTGTTTACTAGAAATTCAACCAGTAAAGTGCAAATGGCACACCATTAGAATTAAAGAGCAGAGTGTCTTTTGAGCACATCTGGAAACTAGGGGTTCATTTACAGTATCAGAACTGAATAAAGCTAACAGTCCTTTTAACACACAGTCCACTCCTGGCTACCTTATGTTTTCTTCAGTACAGCAGCCTATTGAAAATCTTCTTGCTGTTGCCAAATGCCAAGTAGGTAACCTTTGGTGATCTACTATAAATCACCACCCCTAAACGCTGCGTGTAGATCCCGATCTGCTTCTAACCACTCCTACTCTATTGCTTTCCCGGAAGCCTGTTTTATTACTAGCCTAAGCTCTCTCCCTCTCACACGCACTTGCAGCTCAATAATAATAATAAAGCATTGCCACATCATTTAAAGTAAACGCAGGAATGACCTCCAATAGGGACAACTACACGCAATTTTTAAATCATGAGGATTCAAGGGTAGGCCTTATTAAAAACCTAATCACAAGGTAGTTTGGAGACACGTGTTAACCATCACAAATAACTTATTCCTTCGCCAAGATCTTGCCCGCTGTGGAATTAAAAAGAGCTCCTTCGCAAAAGGGCTTTATTCCGCCAAGGGGAAAACACTGCATTATTTGCAAAAGAAAGGAGGGAGGGGAGAAGGGGACTCTGCCATCCGTTGGCCTTTTCTCAAGTCTTCTGATGCGGCCAGAGATAAGACAACTAGTGGCCTCGAAGCCCTCGCCCCTGGCTTCCAAAACCCCCATGCAAGCTACCAGGGCAGACCTCTGAGCAACAGGGGGAGGCCGCCAGGTGCTGGCTCCGGCCTCGCCCTCGGCCAGAAAGGAAAAGGCTGCCCACCCATTTTCATGCTTACTGTTCAGATAATCTTCGCTCCGCTGCCCGAGCCAGCTCTGGGCAACGGGACGCATTCGCGACCGGCGCCGAAGCTACCGCCGCCATCTTTGAAGCTGGCGGGCGCAGCTCACGCGACGCGCCATGACGCCGGGCGGGCTTTTGCTCGCTCGCTCCTCCTTCCCGCTCAGTTCATCTGCTGGCAGCGGGAGCCCTGGCTGGGCTACGTTTGCAGCGCTCTCTCAAGCAGCGTTTCTTAAACGTTTTGTGACCGGTTTTGCCATGCTTGGGCAGCCGTGGCAATGCACACACCCCCTTTTCTAGGAAATTTAAGTTTTTCCCTTGGCCTTTTATCGCCTTTTCTGGGCTGCTTTCGGGATAGTTTGCCCTTGCTCCCCAATCCTGCACAATCCAAATGTTGGATTTCGTAACTACATTAAGCAGCCATTCAACTATTTCCTCAGCTACGCTTCATGTTGCATTGCCACTGCAATTTATTTTGAAATCCACATTTTGTGCGATCTTCGGTTCTGTGCCTCCAGGCCTCAGAAGGCACCCTGTTCTTATTGACTGCCCATACCCAGAGCCTTGATTCATCCTTAGCTGTGGATAATGTTGATATCAGCAACGGCGCAACCGTAAAAAAGGATTGAATTATATAAAGCAACCTGACACAAAACAGAGACCAAACGGGCCTAGCTTTTAGAGAGCGAAAATAGGCACTATTTCTGACTGGCAAGGGACACTGCCCACGTGCCAACGGCCTGACATAACATTTGCAGCTTGGCACAAGGCTTTGTGGCAGGTACAAAACTAGTGGTAGATAAGCAGAGAGAAGCCTTTATCAAGTTCAGTTTAATGGCCAAATGTCTGATGGGGAGGGTGTCATGGCCATCCGTCAGGCAGGCAGCTGCAGGATATGGCCATGCTTGACTAATGACAACTCAGCTTTCTGGTGGCAGGTATGCAGTCCTCCAAGGGACGCGGGTGGCGCTGTGGGTTAAACCACAGAACCTAGGACTTGCTGATCAGAAGGTCGGTGGTTCGAATCCCCGCGATGCGGTGAGCTCCCGTTGCTCGGTCCCTGCTCCTGCCAACCTAGCAGTTCGAAAGCACGTCAAAGTGCAAGTAGATAAATAGGTACCGCTCCGGCGGGAAGGTAAACGGCATTTCTGTGTGCTGCTGTGGTTCGCCAGAAGCGGCTTAGTCATGCTGGCCACATGACCCGGAAGCTGTACACCAGCTCCCTCGGCCAATAAAGCGAGATGAGCGCCGCAACCCCAGAGTCAGTCACGACTGGACCTAATGGTCAGGGGTCCCTTTACCTTTATGCAGTCCTCCAGCAGACCAGCAACAGGCCTTCATTCTGTCCAGAAACTGCTGATGCTCCAGTGCCTCCAGGAGACTGGTAGTTGCAAGAAACAGCCACCACTGAAATCAATAGTTTGCTTATTCTCTGCCTTTCAAAGGTGTGGTAAAAGGGATTCAGGCTACATGCAGCCCAGAGGGAGAGCACAGGAGTAGAACAAAGAACAAGAAGTAGCCTGCACAACCATCCTTTGGGGAATTAAATACCTGGAATTTCCTACAGTCATCAAACGGGGAAGTGCAGAAGTCTGGGCAAAATTCCCAGCCATTGGCTCGATTCATTATTATTGGACCTAGTCACTGAATTACTGTGTCAGTTTTCCCCCAATTATATTCTTATGAAGGGGTATCCTGAATTATTCATTTTAAGTTCAATTCTTATTTCACTTCAACCTAGAACTTCAGATCAGTTTCTGTTCCAATTTTTGAGAGGGAGGGGAAATAAAGGTTCAGACTGAGTTTACATGTCCTATTCTAAGTCAGATTGACTCCCTGGTTCTGTCTTACTTAACATGAGTCATAATAATAATATGTTCCAATTAGTAGTTGTTAACTTGTCTTTGTAACAGAACTATGGAAGGCCTTAGGCGGAATCAGGGGTGCCAACTTGAATAAAATATTGTGGGAGCCCAGGGAAGCCCCATCCCACATAACTGATCACATGACACAGTGCACACATACCATTTGAATGGAAATGTCCATCAACTTTGTGGGAGCCCGGCCCCCTCAAATATTTTATTGTGGGGGTTGAAGCCCCCACAGCCCCTGGAAGTTGGCTCCTATGGACTGAATGTACACATCCACTCATACCCTATAAATATCAAGAAAATTAAAACAAACCTCAAAACATAAGTATATGGAATGTTTTCCCTGAGGCAGATGATTGTTATACCCCATCTACAAAATTACCATTTCTATGAAACCTGAAGATACTGATGTGTTCAGAATGAGTTAAGCATGATTGAATTATGCACCATTAAGTCTGCATGTTCTGTGATTTTATCATCTGTGGATTGATTCCTGGTATGCTAATGAAGACCTATGTATAGTTTTCTTGATTAACTCATGGCTTAGAACTTGTTACTTTGAGTACTAAACAAGATTTAAGGGGTGGTTTTTTTGTTTTGTTTTTGAGGTGTTGCGTCTGATATCTCAATTATTCATCCCAGGAATTAATGTACAATTAGCATGAATTCCAGCTACCATAGAAATAAATGGCTATGTAAATTTGGATGCTGTTCCTGGAACATTTTAGAATAATAAAAAGTCTGGCATTAATATCTTCACGTTGACTACAGTTTTAGATTGTTTAAGGTAGTCTTCCCAGGCTTTAGATGTTTTGGACTATATACCATGTTAGCCAGGGCTGGTGAGACTTGTAATCTAAAACATCTAAATGATGCATGGATGGAGAGCTTGACTCGAGTCTGAGGGGTATTTGAAGGGTTTCTCCTTTCTACTTAATTGTCCCTTCTGTTTCAGGTGATTGAACAAATAAGAAAATCAAAGTCCATATAAAAATAGCATTTATTTATTATTTATTAAATTTGCATGCCACCCTTTATTTGAAGATCTCAGGGCGGCTCACAGCATAAAAATACAAGATAAAAACACAAATCACACAATACCCCCATAATAATAATAATAATAAATTTTATTTATATCCCGCCCTCCCCAGCCGAAGCCAGGCTCAGGGCAGCTAACAACACTAAAATAGTGCAATATTATGAAAACATTATAAAAATTAATTAAAATCAAAATTGATGGCAACCATAAACTAAAGTTTTGTAAAGATTGCCAAAGGAGGGAGTCAGGCTGCGCCCTGACCAAAGGCCTGGTGGAACAGCTCTGTCTTGCAGGCCCTGCGGAAAGATGTCAAGTCCTGCAGGGCCCTTGTCTCTTGTGACAGAGCGTTCCACCAGGTTGGGGCCGCAGCCGAAAAAGCCCTGGCTCTAGTTGAGGCCAGCCTAACCTCTCTGTGGCCTGGGACCTTCAAGATGTTTTTATTTGAAGACCGTAAGTTCCTCTGTGGGGCATACCAGGAGAGGCGGTCCCGTAGGTAAGAGGGTCCTAGGCCATATAGGGCTTTGAAGGTTAAAACCAGCACCTTAAACCTGATCCTGTACTCCACCGGGAGCCAGTGCAGCTGGTATAGCACCGGATGAATGTGATCTCGCAGCGAAGACCCCGTAAGGAGTCTCGCTGCGGCATTCTGCACCCGCTGGAGTTTCTGGGTCAGTCTCAAGGGCAGCCCCACGTAGAGCGAGTTACAATAATCCAGTCTGGAGGTGACCGTCGTGTGGATCACAGTGGCTAGGTCAGGGCGAGAGAGGTAAGGAGCCAACTGCTTAGCTTGGCGGAGATGAAAAAATGCCGCCTTTGTTATAGCTGCAATCTGCGCCTCCATGGAGAGGGAGGTATCGAAGATTACACCCAAACTCTTAACGGACGGTGCTGGCACTAATTGCACCCCGCAAAAGATGGGAGTTGCCCCCTCAATCCCATATCGTCCCGTCCCAGCCAGAGGACCTCTGTCTTCGAAGGATTTAACTTCAACCGGCTCGCACGTAACCATCCAGCCACAGCTTCCAAGCATCTGATCAGTGTGTCTGAGGCCGAGTCAGGATGGCCATCCATCAACAGATAGAGTTGGGTGTCATCAGCATACTGATGGCAGCCCAGCCCAAAACTCCGGACAAGCTGGGCGAGGGGGCGCATAAAGATGTTAAAAAGCATCAGGGAGAGTATCGCACCCTGGGGCACTCCACACACCAAGGAGTGGCGGGATGACAATTCCCCCCCAAGCGCCACCCTCTGTCCCCGACCAGAGAGAAACGAGCGCAGCCATTGAAGGACTGTGCCCTGGATCCCCACGTTGGCAAGGCGGTGGTCCAGGAGTTCGTGATCGACCATGTCGAAGGCTGCTGACAGGTCTAGAAGAATCAGCAGCCCCGACCCGCTTCAATCCAGCTGCCTGCGGAGATCATCTGTTAGGGCGACCAGAGCCGTCTCGGTCCCATGACCAGCGCGGAAGCCGGACTGGAATGGATCCAGAGCCGATGTTTCATCCAGAAACCTACCAAGCTGTTCAGCAACCACTCTCTCAATCACCTTACCCAGGAATGGAAGATTCGAAACCGGGCGGTAATTGGATAGATCTAAGGGATCTAATGATGTTTTCTTTAAAAGTGGGTGCACCACTGCCTCCTTCAGTTCCCCTGGGAATGTCCCGGTGCCAAGGGACAAATTGATGATATCCCCCAGGGGGGCCCGCACCTCGTCTGGACACGCTCTAATCAGCCAGGACGGGCACGGGTCGAGAGGACAAGTGGTGGGCTTTCCAGCTCGGAGGAGTCTGTCCACATCGGCTGGGGATATCCGGTCAAAGTGGTCCAATACTGGACCCGAGGACAGTCAGGGGCCTCCAGTTCCTTTATTGTATCCAAATTAGCAGGGAGGTCATGGCAGAGCAACAAGACCTTCTCCGCAAAAAAGCTCGCAAATGCCTCACAGCTGTGTGTCAAATTGTTATTTAAATTTGGCTGTCCTTCGAGGGACGTTAAAGCCGAATTATACTAAATAATTGCGCCGGGCGAGAGCTAGCGGATGCAATGGAGGCCGAGAAGTAGGACTTCTTAGCGGCCTTCACTGCCATCTCGTAGGTTTTCATAAAAGCCCTATAAGATGTTCTTGAGGCTCCGTCACGGGCACCCCGCCATACTCACTCTAGCCGTCTGAGGTCCCGCTTCATTTTCCGGAGCTCCTCGGTAAACCAGGGAGCCCGGTTTCTGCGGGGTCGCAGAGGGCGCTTAGGTGCGATCTCATTGATGGCTGCCAGGAGCTGGGTATTCCAGCCCTCAACAAGCTCAGTCAATGAGTCGCCAGGGGGAGAAAGGTCCCGCAAGGCTTGACGGAATCTATCAGGGTCCATCAGCCTCTGCGGGCGAGCCCAAATCGGCTCGCCACCTAAGCAGGGTGGGGGTGGAACGTCAATCCTGGCTTTCAGAGCGTAGTGATCAGACCATGGCACCTTCATCGAAGGAAACATGATCACATCTATACCGACGCCAAAGATCAAATCCAGCGTGTGGCCTGCTTGATGTGTGGGGCCCGATACAAACTGGGAGAGCCCTAGTGTCGCCATGGAAGACACCAGGTGGTACAACAAAGTAAAAAGTAAAAACACCTGCAAATACTGTGAGTAAAGCTAGCATGGTCCACTGGTTTAAATGTTGGTTTGGGATCAGTTAGGCCTAAATCCAGAATTCCTACTCACCTGTGAATCTTTCTGAATGGGTTTGTGCAGGTAACTGTCTCAAAGTCTCACCTACCTCACAGGAATTTTAGGAAGAAAAAGGTGATAAGAACTATACAACAGCTATGAGCCATGATGGCTATATTCTGCACCCACTGCCAGAAGCATTATGTCTCTGAATACCAGTTGCTGGGAATTAGAGGTGGGCCGAGTGTTGTTGCACTAATGTCCAGCTTCCAGGCTTCCCATGGGCATCTGGTTGGCCACCAGGATGCTGGACTGGATGGACCAATGGCCTGATCCAGCAGGCTCATCTTTGTATTACACTTTGTTCAGTGACACACTTCATTCTCCTGGGCTCTATGAGAGAGACTTTCATATTTACCTTTTGCTTCATAGCAGTGGGCATATCATTAGTTGGTGATAATTCAAAGGCAGCCTTTATGACTAGGGAGTTGTTTTGCTGAATCTTGTGGATGCATGGCACATTCAAGGTGTATCTATGCACACCAAATATGTCAAAATATGTTGACAAAAATAGTAATTGTGGGGTGCCCACACCAATATATATCAGGACCACAGCAAATCATACACTCAAGCAAAGGGGGCAGTGTCCTCTGTAAGATGCCACTGGATCCTGTCTAGCACAGGTGTTAATTTTGAGTAAGTAACATTATCATTGGGATCAAATATCTTCTGATCATAAAGATACATGAGATAGGGCACCCCAACAATTAGTTTAGGATTTGGGGACATATAAACTTCTGAGTTCATGGATACATGAACTTTCTTTCTTAGGGTTTGGAACTTCTGAGCAGTACAGAACTGGAAACTAGTAACCAACTTCAGCATCGTTATAGATTCCTGTTTGATTGAGTTTAACTTTTATCCCAATCAAATCATTATAAACCCATTAACTAAGAGACCGAGTTATTAATCTTGTCTGGAGTAATAGGTCTTTAAATGTTCATTTCTTCTTGTCACTGGTTTTGATTTGGTATATACTAATGAACTGCAATTAGGGCTATTAATAACGCTTATTACTTAGCCTTACTTGGTTCTTAGTCCAAGATTAAGCAGCTGCCTTCTTAAAACCATTAAATGTGTTCTGTCCTTATACAATATATATCCCCCACCTTCCTTTCAAAAGCGTAATACTGAAGGAGCAAGAAAAGCAACTTAGCTCTCTTATTGCTTTTTGGTCTGGTTAGGTGCTGCTCTCTGGATGCTGCTTGGGAAATGAGCCTTTTGCTCCTCTTCCCTTCCTCCCTTAGAGGAGTCACAGGGCTTGCTCACTCGAGCTATGGGATGATGTAGGCAGCCGCTCACTCACATTTCCCACTTCTGGCTTCTCCAACTTTGTTGAAGCAACATCCCAGAAGGGGTCTGGATTTGGATTTGATATCCCGCTTTATCACTACCCGAAGGAGTCTCAAAGCGGCTAACAATCTCCTTTCCCTTCCTCCCCCACAACAAACACTCTGTGAGGTGAGTGGGGCTGAGAGACTTCAAAGAAGCATGACTAGCCCAAGGTCACCCAGTAGCTGCATGTGGAGGAGCAGAGACGCGAACCCGGTTCCCCAGATTACGAATCTACCACTCTTAACCACTACACCACACTGGCTCTCCTGGCACTCAGATGCTCTGGGCTCTGAAGCCATCCCCGGCCAAGCACATATTCTACCCTTGTTCTCAACCCCCATGGAGGAGCATCAATGGCAGACAGCTTGGCCAGTTTGCTTGCATCTTCCTTCACCACTCAGGGAACTCAGGTTCCCTGAGAGATATGGAGCTGAAGGAGAAAGCCAAAGTGTGACTGGGCTATCTTAGCTGTGGTAATAGTTCGTGTGTGCAGTAACTTTAACAGCACAATATCCAGAATTAGAATTATAAGATTTCTGGACATTTGGAAGCCATGGTTGTTGGTATTGGTGCAGGGAGGGAGGGAACCTTAGGCCTCTCCCCCAGGTTACAGGTGTTTTTGCCTGGCTGGAATGTGTCCTTTTCACTTTTCAGTACACACTTTTGGGTATGCAGAAGCTCTTGTTAACTGGGTACAGCCAGGAAAAAGGCTGTGATGAGGGGACTGAAGGCAGGCAAGCTTTCATAGGTTCTCCTCAGTTCCACATGGTGGGATTCACAACACCTTTCACATGCGCTCTGTCAGGAAGATTTTGGGCATCACATGGCAGGACAGAGTCTCAGACAAAGATGTGCTCTCATTCCCAGCATGTTTGCACTCCTGTTTCAGTGACATCCACACTGCCCTGGTCATGTGCACAGAATGGAAGATGGCAGGATCCCCAAGGATGTGCTCTGTGGGGAGCTAGATTCAGGCACCAGACCCACTGGCAGACCAACTCTGCATTACAAAGAAGAAACATGACATGAAGGCTGGCAACATTAACTCCACCATATGAGAATGGTGACAGCCGCAGACACCCGCAGTCAGGTTGTGTATCCAGAGGTGGAGATGGCTGGGTGCTGTTGCTGGAAGGCTATCCGTACAGTTTTCAGCAGCAGTGTCCAACCCTCCCCTACCCATCTTTCTCACTCTCCTTGAAAGCAGAAGCAGATGTGTCTTCACTCACTTTGCTCTCCAGGGATAGCCATAGAATTGTTCCTCTTGGTCAGTGAATCGCAGAAGCTCTGAGTTTGCAGAGTTTCAGGAGATGGCAACACTGGCTTCCGAGACAATACAAATATTTATTATTTATTTATGGATTGTAAAAAATAATTTATACAATTAAGTAACAACACTGTGCAGGGCCTGACTGTTTTTCTTTCTTTCTTGGGCCTTGATAGAAATAACAGTTCCCCACCTCTGTATTAACCCATCAGCTAAATATTTTGATGTAATAAGTGCAGCCTCACTAGCTTCATAGCAATTCCGTTTTTTCCAGCTTTGTTTCCTTCATAAGGCAGGCAAAAAGAGGTCCAGGCTCTTATCTGCTGTGTCACATTTCCTAAAATGGTTCGTGTTACTTAGCGTTGAAAATTGCCAAGTCTGACATGGCAAAGAGCTATTTTAAGCTGCAAGACACACAAGCATTGACGTATACAACTGAAGCATAACTCTACACCCTATGTCCTTCTGTCAGGTCTCATCAGAGGAAAGGTTTCAGGGCTGAGACTGCGTAGAGCAGGCTGTCTGAGAGGAACAGAGGCAGAAATATAATGCAAAAGATGCAGGAGTTGGGTTCCAGTGCAGCAAACAAGGCTTAGAGGGGTCAGATCAGGGAGTCAGAACCAGGCAGACACCAAGATCCTAGGCAGCAGTCAAGAAAAAGGAAGCAGGGGCTTAGTGTCATCATTCTAGAGACAATGTACTCAGACAGGAGCAAGTTTTACAGTTAGAACTTAGTGGACAAGAAGGTCATCTGACAATGGTCCAGGAGAACTGCAGCCTAAGTAGCATCCTTGAACTGCAGATGCTATCCCACTCTATTGGATAGGCTTGCAGATAAACCAGAGCTCTGTTGGTACCAGGAGGTAAAGTGCTAGAATATGATTACTGGAAGATGTGATTTGAATCACACACGACATCCACACCCTCCAAATCTTTCTCTCTTTTTTTTGGGGGGGGGGGGAAGCTAGCCTCAGTGAGTTAGAATTGCCAATAAGAAACCATTGCAGGAGGCATGTTGGGATTTACCGTTTTTCATAGCGATGGTATGCCAAGCAAGGGCTGGGAAGACACACAAGAGCAGTGACACAAACGGCATCTGTTTTGGCAATGTCTTTGACAAGGGAGTCAGCCACATGTAACATGGCACCAGCAGAGGGGCTTTTAGGCCAAATCCTGTATGCTTCATAAATGAAGTGCTGAACTGGCTGCAAGGGCCTTAATCTTCACACATGGGAGCCTTAGCCTTGCTTGAAAAAGCAATTTCACCTTGAGATAATACGAGTTGCATTAGACTTTAATTTGAATGTTTATTTTTATTCTATTTCTTTCCCACCCTTTCTCCCAAAGGAGCATATTTTTATTCTGACTTTATCAGTTCTTTACTAGTTAGCTCTTCCACCATTAAATAGCAACATCACAGCGACAGAATGCAAGTAGGTCACTCAGAGCCACTGGGAGAGAAAAAAATCCAATATTTTGCACTGTAGTTTGTGTGATGTGTGTGTGCACGCGCTGTGATAAAAACATTTTGTCCTTCCTGTCACTTGATGTACAATATATTTTTAGTTCCTTAGGAGTGGAGTTGTTTGCATCTATTTTGATTGTAACCCCCTACTTTGTAGGCCCCACTTTGGCATTAGATCACCCTGCAAGGGGTTAAGTTCTGGCTCAGAAATGTGGGCTGTTTGATATGAAAACCATCATTGTTTGATATGTCAAATAAAACATTTGTCAATCAAGAGTCTTTAAGCACTGGGCTATGTGACATTTACTCTTTTATACACCGACAAAATCCCTGGTGGCCTGCCTTTTTTCCTCTCATTTAAATAGTAGTAGGAGAACAAATCATACTTCAGGGCAAGTTGATAACTGCCAGTCACGATTCCTGCCTTGTTTACTATAATGAGGAGGGTAATAAATGCATCTGACCATTTCAGCTGGCATTTGCATAGATGAATGATTTGTCCAGTCAGTTGCTCTCTTGTGATTTGGGCCTCTTTGTCAGCACAAAGAGCATTCAGTCTCTTTGGAATTTGCAGCCGCCAAGCTCTCATTAGTAAACATCCTTTGCCATGAATGATTCAAATAATTACCCCTGAAATAATAAACTGTTTCACAAAAAACATTTTATTTGATGGCTCCAAAACATCAACTTTTCTGAATTGTTGACATTCAAATCAGCCAGAAAGCTTTATTGTTTGGCAACAATGACCCACTTGTAAAAGGCTGGCCATTGTTTTACCACCAGTAGACCTTTCAA